ATAATGTAGTTCTCGAAATAAATTTTAAGATGATATAAGCAATTTGTAGATTCGATTAGCGTACGATCGTCGAAGAATTTTTAAAGTTAGCATATTATCGAAATTTTCGAAATACTAATTTTGAACGGCTTACTTTGACAAGTCGTAACATTTACTATGATTGATCGTTTAGTACGCCATTAATGACGTAGAAAATTAGACCGTGAGCACTTCAAAATTGTATTAAGAATGCAACATAGAAAATTTAATGAAAAAAAAAGGAGCAAAGTTGGGGGGGTCACGTGACCCCCCAGGCCACCCCCTGCGTCCGCCCATGCCAGTCCATTACCTTTCGAACATTCTATATAAGATATGCATTTACTTTCACTCTCTTCTGAACTGAATTAGTAAAGTCCAAATATCTCTTTTCTATACGAATCATTTTCTGAATAATGAAATCCATAGCATAAAGGTGGTTAAATGGGATTATTTTTCTTAGGGGTTGATTGATGATTGAGTATCATTTGTTCGCTCTTGAAACCCTTCCAAGTCGATGTGCCATCAAAATGCTACTTCAACACTAAATATGAACCATTCGGATTTTTTTTGGTTGCAGGACTCCAATTTCTGTCTTCATGACACAGAGGCATGAATAATTTAATAAAAATAGCAAATTATGGTGAAGTATTTCTTGCAGGTTTTATTAGGTTCTTTTATTATTTAATGATTTTATATTAAAGATGTTGATCATTAATATAATCAGATTATATTCTTCGGCACTGTAATTATTAAGTCTTATTTTTATTTAATATTTAATAAAAATAATAATAATAGATGCACTCTAACAAATGATGTTGATCATTATAGTGAGTGTATCTCTTGAGCACTGTAATTATTAAATCTTATTTCTACTTTACTTTGTTTGTATACTGAGTTTGTTAAACTGTATTTATAGAAGTACTTCCACAAATACTATGATGCGATTATGCTATACTTGAAAGCTATCTTGATGAATGTTATCGATTGCATGCTTCATGCCAAAGCCATGGAATGCATTAGGACAGTTGGAAATGAGAACTTCAAAGAGGATGCCAAGCACGCAAATAACAAAGAACTTAGTATTGCCATCGTTTCTTATTGAATTTAATATATTGCTTCTTATTACGTGGTAATCATTTGTTTGTTCGTTAATTCCTTTAGTTTTTACTTCAATTCTTTATAAACAACACATGTTTTTCTTTTTCTTTTTTTCTTTTTTTTTTTAACTAGCTTATGAATATTTTTCATGTTTACAAATAAATTTCTAGAAAATTTACATATTTTTATTTTTAACATTAACCAACTAACGTGTGACGCAAGTTCATCCCACTAGTCATGTATAAATACAAGATAGGGACTCGAATACACGACCCCATAACAAGATAACTAGTATCACAATCTTTACATGCACTGCACGAGCACAAGCCATAGCTTATAGGATTATCGCAAACTACATATCCAAGTATTGTATCCGTCCATTTGTACGAGTAGTAAAATTTATTTAGAAGATATATTCTATGTGGGATAAATCTAACATTTTGATATGACTTTGAAACAATATCAAGCTGTTAAAACATGGAACGATATAAGATGTAAAATTTTTAACTGCATAGGAACTGAGATGTTCAAAGAAGCTATAGCTTCTCATATCATGTATGTTTGGTAAATCATTTTGTAATTATAAGTTGTGGATCCTATAGAATGTGTGAATCAACAACTTGGATATTTCGGACAGTTGTGTGGTTATCGATAACTTCAATAGTGTGCCTTAGTGATGTAGGACAACTAGCTTTGATGTTTGAAGAAGTGCTGGACGGGAAATTGACATTTTGACATTTGTCACGACGGTGTTGGAATGGGCTAAAATTTGGCTGGTTGATTGGAAACGGCCTGAAAAGTTGGACTCGGGGCATAGCCTTAGGTCTCGAGATTTTGGCCTAATTCCTTCGTTTAGGCCTCCGAATAATTAATTTCCGTATTTCCCGTTTTGAATTTTNTTATTGAATTCATTCTTAACTAGTAGTTGCTCCTGAAGTAGTATAACATCATAATTAATATTTCTGGAGAATATTATTCACTCCTCAAGAGCATGAATTACACTTTCAATATTTTAATGACCAATTGTTTTTGAAGAAGCAACAGTTTTCAAACAAACAAAATGATATTAATAATAATATTTTATCGTGCTCTCGAAATAGAACATGTCTCGAAAAATACTAACTACTTCAAAAGAGCATGTGACGTAGCGGAAGATTATAAAACAGATGAACAACCTCCTCACAAATATGAGATAAACTCATGAAAATTCTTATTCAATTCAATAATGTCTGCCTCAAAGGGCTTACAATGATTTAAATAGTAAAACCCTAACTAATTTCAAAAAATAAATAATAAAAAAAAAAGATATTTTTCCATAAATGGAAAAATTCAAGATTTTAACTTAAATGGAAACTCCTAATATTCAAGATCGTCATCCAACAAATGGAATCAAAATCCGAATCTTATTGAATGAGATATTACCAAAATAAAAATTATCATAAACAGTAAAAACGCGTAATCGAGAGCTTAAATGATGGAATCTGTCCGAAACCCGACTTACGTCATGGCCAAAGGCGATGAGTTGTGATCCTTGGCCCGTTTCCAATCGAATTAGACTATTAATTCGCTAAAAAGGGATAAACCTGAAGTTATTATAAAATCATTATTTTGCCTTGCGATCCCACTTCATCATAAATTCTAACTCCTTGTGCACTTCATCAAATTGCATCTTGCCATGGAAGGTGCAAGTGCAAGTTATTATATTTGATAGATTAGTTTTATTTTTCACAATCGACATTCATTTAGCATTTTGTAATATCATAAGAGTCGAATCTGATTAGTTGGTTCAACTGGAAAAACCAGTGACTAGTTCAAAACAACGGAACGTAATACAATTATTGCACCAGCATAGAATTAAGAACACAACGAAACCCAAACAATGGAAACACACAGTAAAAGAACAAACTTTTGCAGCTGAAGAGCTTGTACGAGATCGTCGATTTAGGAAGTCTCCTCTTCTGACTTCTGAGGTTTAGTGCGGATAAGCAGCAAGAAATGTTTGTGCCATAGTAAGGGCAAGGGCAAAAATTGCACCTAGAAAAGCCAAGAGAGTCCAAGGACTGCTAAAATACTTGTGTATCCATTCAGCCATCCAGATATGTCTTTTTTGCTTGCAATGTGTATCAATCTTCAACTTAACATTATAATACGCAAGAGGATCAGGTACCAAGTCATTAGCTATCCCGTTAAGGAGTTGTGCCAATTGTTCGTCACTGCCTAATTTGTTGGAAAGAATTCTTTTCTGCCTCAGCTCTTTAACATCATCAGCATTATCAATGAGTGAATCCATTAGACAAATGTATGACGTAATGAGCAAATCAGGAGGGCCATGCGGACACATTTCATAAGCCACCAAGTTTAATAGCAAAGTTCTTGTTAAATGATCAACCTTGATTGAAGGAAGTGTAATAATACCAGAAACAAGGCGAGATTTGAACTCTACATCAGCAAGATTTCCAGTTTGATTTGGTTTGAAATAAATTCCTGCTGATTTGAGATCAGTTACTGAACGATACGATTCCCGGACATTTGATTCCTTGATAAATGCATTTATGTCTTTCATATCATGTTTAATTAAAGGCCATATGAGCTTTTTCCGCACTAGTTGTAGAAGGGTCAAATTGTTTGACAATTCCTCGTGATCCTGGATTTCATCCGAATCTGGGTTCTCAGTTTTTGGCGTACTTTTAGAGCAGCATCCTGTCATTTTTCCAAGAAATTTCATGGCAATATTATTAGTGCATAAATTTCCCCGAGGTGGCTCTATGGTGAACAGCTGAAGGACCTTCTTAATGAAACCATCTACTGTCTTTTCCTTTTGTTCTTTGAACACGAGTTTCATCAAAACTTCTAGTACTAGTAAAGGAATTTGATTCTCTAGCAAGAACAAGTCCCTCAACACAAGGTGGTAACTCTTACCCAGTCGTTCCTTTACTGCTTTTTGTACCTCAGGGTCCTCATCTGCCTCAGAGGAAACATTTCGTGAGTGATCTGGGAATAGGAACATAAAATAAAGCACAAACAAAGCATCAAGAAACATTATCCTGTTGAACTCTTCATCGTTATAGCGTTCAGTCGAGCCTTCCGCATAGCATTTACGGGCACTGTCACCCACCTTTGCCACCGCATCGTATAACTGTTCCACGGACACTTGATCACCATGGGTGCGACAGAATTTCAGCGCGAATAGAATTTTTAGCTGCTCGAATTCTTTGAGCTCTGGGTTTCCAAAATGATAAGGGCCTATCGAAACTACGAGTGGATCAAAACAATTTCTGAATGATTCGTTCGAACGCAGCAGTTTTGGAGCCGTATCTATTCGGGTGTCGTAATCATATTTCTCTAGAGAAATAAACCACTCCTTCTTGGTAATGCAGTTGCTTGATTCATGTGATTTTATATCACTTTGAGTGATTTCGGCACTTTGGTGGTTATCTTCTTTGGTTCCAACTGTTGTCATCCCTGGGAAGCCAGCACGTAGTATTCGCAGCTTTTTTGATAAAACTTCATCAAATTTTCAACTAGTGAAAATTTAATTTTAAACACATTTTATCAGCCATAACTATGAGTTGAAAAGAACCGCAAATCCAGGACACCACGAGACGGTTACATAACATGGAAAGTAACTGTCAAATGAAATACAAAAAATTTCGAATACCATTAATAATAACCAAATATTCAGGAAAAATAAATCCGCTCCAAAACACAGGAAGGAAGCGAAAATTCCAGGACGAACTCGACATTAATACCAAAACATCCAATTAAAAAGCAACAAGATCAAAGCATTAAAAAAGTAATAATCTTCAGGAAATCAATAAAAACGAGAATGTAAAGCAGAATCTAGTTCATATATTTGCATCGAAAGTAGTTAAAAGGAAAAACAGTAAAAGGTATATTTACCGAAGTTCTCGATAGATTGCAGAAGCTTCAAATGCCTCCGTCTCTCCCTCACACACTAGCACGCAGTGTTCCTCTCTCTAGAAACTGAAAATGAGAAATCGAGAAGTCTCTCTATATATGTGCGATTGCGTATGTATAAGTGCAATTACGGGAAGTGGTAATGGAGTGCGGGGGAATATAAAAGAATAATGGCATGGGTACGTAGGGTGCACGCCCCCCTATTGGTGACACAGCACAGCCCTAATTTACCGCACGTTTAACAGGGACTCTATGTTTGAATTTAGTGAACATTTAAGACATGAACAGCACTTCTCAGTTCTCATTGACTTGTGTACGGATATACCACAAATAAAAAGTTGATTTTCATTTATGCCCTTGCCATATATTTTTTTGAGGATATTTGAGTGAGACAATGAGGGTAAAATCGTCCATAATCATCTCCAACGGGCCATGTCAGATATATTAAATTCTGACAATCTGTGATGTACCTTTTTTATTTTTAAATCTAATGCACTGTAGCATAATGAGTTGAGATGAAAAATCCAATTTTGAAGGAAGGCTGCAGTGTTTCTTGTGTGAATTGGTGACCGGTGACGGGTGTCGGTGGGGGACAGTAACCGGATGATCCCGGTTACTTTACGAGTTATTATTAATTAATTAATTAATAATACGTGTTACTACAATTAATTCGATTGTGTTACGTGTACATAACAACTTATATTAATGATTTACCAACAGATGATGAAACGAGATTTAATTGGATCAAAATTTTATCAATCAAATAACTTTTCACTTATATTTTGATAACTCATCATTATGTAAAATATTATGTAAACAGTTATATACATGAAGTAATTTTGAATACTTCTAAGAACACAGGCAAACTCTCAATAATTAAGTCATAGTTTTGCAACAAGTGACAAACTTCAATTTACTTATCATTGTGTAACCCTGCAAACAAAATAACTATGAACTCAGATCCATTTCTTTTTTGATTTTTCAACGGTTACAAGTTAGAGAAATCACTGGCATGGAAAAGAGGAAAAGTATACCTGAGAACATCCTTACACAACCCAGTGAAAACCTTGAGGCCTCAAAGCAAGTCGAAATCTCTAAATTTTGAACAGCAAATACCCTGAAATTCTTTAGTCGCCACTAGGAATAGCATTCTTACGTTCACACTCACTTTAAAGCAATGCTTGATGGAGCTTTATGGGGTTTAATACAATATTAGTGGCCCATTTAGCATGACTTTCGCTTCATGTAAAAGAGCTTTTGGAGAAAATTGCTTTAAATTTTGTTTGAAAACTTATTTATAAAAGAGCATCTTATTTCGAAAGTATTTTTAAAGAAAGTCACATTTGACTAATTTCCTCTAAAAACTCTTCTAATTAGAAGTAATACTTTCATAAAATTAGTCAAACGAGTTCAAAAGCAACTTTTAGATCTCAAAAACTTCTTTTGGCTTTTCAAAAATTGTATCAATTTGAGTGATTTCAACACTTTGGTTATCAACTGTAGTCATCCCCTGGATGTTAGCATGAAATTTCCGTAGGCATATTTATTAGCAGCTTGTTTGATATAATATCAATTTTCCAACTAATCAAATTTCAATGTTAAAAACACATTTATTATAGCTTACAATTTTAATCTTTCCAATCATACATTTTATAACGATCCAAGCATAGGCATATAGGCTCGGAAATGTGTTTTTTGTAATAAAATGACAGGTGTACCCAAATTGTTATATCGTGTGTACTGTTTGCTTTGGAGAGCATACGCCATCTTATCTATCATGAATTTTCATCGCATCACCTAGGATTTAAACCTTACGAGAGATTTAAATTGAATAAAAAAAAAATTAAATATTTATCTTCTCTAATGATTTAAATTCGTAAATGAGTTGGTCAACACATGTTATTATAGAGTTGTACAAGAAACTTGCAATGCCGTTACCAACTATCATCACCCCCAATTATTAGTAAGTTATAAAATTGAAAGAAAAATGATGTTTGTACCTTAATTTTGTGCTTCATTAAGTCGCTTTACGTTCTAAATTCGTCAAACAGGCTCGATGACATAGTTTATTTACAGGGGATGAGTTGCTAGTTTTTGATTGGCACCTTTTTGTTTTAATTTCTTTTTAACTGTTAATGAAATTTCGCCAAATGTAAGTGTGAAAAAGCCAGTCGTTGATCCTATTCATATAACAGGCTTGTTTCCTTAATGAAGGTTGGAATTTGACTTTGAAAGTTAAATAAAAATTGATGAAATGTGTGGTAGAAAAATTGTGGATCTCATATAATATATAATTAAAATTAATTGTTGATTTTAATTAAATTGATTTAAAATAAAAATAAAATTTTAATTTTCACCAAATAGTGGCATGAAAGTTCAAAGCAATTAATGCTTGACCCTCATTTTTCCGTAACTTCTTGTGCAAACTAAAAAAATTTCACTATTTTTTAAATTGATCATTTCCATAACAAATATGAAATTGCGGCCATTATTTTCATTTATTATTTTTATATATCTATCTCACTCTAAATTTTTACTCTAAATTTATCCCTATAAAAATTTATAATTTATAAAAAATTATTATATTCAACCACTTTATATTCCAACATTATCTTTATTAAATTCATTCCCTTTTATATTACTTGTTCTAAAGTTTCTTGAACGCTAGAAAATTCAAGAATTTAGCTTACTGTTCTTTTCTGCGACTGCTTGTGCATTTACAAGTAATTGAGCACATAAAATCCTGAAAGCAAAAATTACATTTCATTTAAGTCTGACGTACACAAAACAAAAATAAATCCCATGATTAATCAATAATCCTTTCAAACCGCATTTGGGAACGAACATAAAGTCTAAAATAGTATAAAAGTAAATATAAAGTATAAAAGAAAATTCAAAATTCAAAAGTATTAAATATTAGTGAATGAATTTAGAATAATGGATTTTATTTGATTTTATTCTTGTCTAATTAAATAAATTTACATGAAATTAAAAATATAATATAAATTATTTTTTAATAAATATATAAAAATAGCTACTCTCTATATCAACAAAAGAAATTTTACAAAATAACGATAAAAAAATTGAAATATAATAATTAAAGACCGAGTCAACAAATTGTACCAACTAGTAAAGTCTAGTTTCTCTCTCTTTCATCGAACCACTGTTGAACGCGTAAAGAGCAATGAGTCATCTTGGGTAGGCAAATGCAATATGTATAGGCTAGTGGCATCCAAGCCTATAAGGTTTGGTTATCGAACCACACATTCATACAATAAAATATTCTACATATAAATTCAAAAAAATTTCCTACATTTTATCCACACATTCTCCAAAATTTCACACTTAAAAATAATGTTTTCAAAAAAATGACTACCAAACAGGGCTAAGGATTGTTTGGTAGCTCACACCCAACTCAGGTACTTCATAGTTCGTACTTTAAATGAGTGGATTGAGATTTTATTTTATATTTAAATGGCTTCGTAGTTCATATACCTCAAATAAGCTTGTTGAAAGGTGAAATTCAAACTCTCAATCGTCAATTCTTTAACGCATATTAATCATACAACGATCTGTATATATAGGAGAAAAATAAAATTTGAATATAATAAGTAATTATTTATTTTATTGTGAATGTTATGTATTTTTCCAATAATCTTAAAACGCATGTACTTCCAATAGTTTTCACAACCTCTACGAAACAAGCCCTAACACTTCCTCAAATCAATCATTGTACATTATGTTATTACATTGCGATTGACGTACAATAGCCGTTACTGTGTATAATAGTCGGTAGGCAGCCGGGAAGGTATGTGTAATGCCCCGAAAATTTTCATAGAATAAAATTTAAATTTTGTGTGATATATCTTGATATTTTGAAAGTTAGGGACTAAAATAATATATAGCAATTTCATTTTTTTATTTGGGCCATATATTTAGATTTTTGACCAAGTAGGATAAGCATATGAATATTAGGCTCGTTGGATAGATTGTAATTAATTATGCATTTTAGGCTCGAGAAAAAGTTAATTTGGATTAATGGAGCCCAAGTTATCGAAGTCGAAAGAATTAGCCTTAAATCATATTTTATATTAAATGAGTTTAAATGTTACGAGAATGACACGTAAGATTGGTAAGATATTATTTAGGATTTGTTTTCTAGTTCACGTGTGGGAGTTGTTGAAATGGTTAAGTAGTAGTTTTTATTATTGTTTTTATATTTTAGTGAAAAACTTTCTAGCTTGTCAAGTGTCCCATTAAGACGTTGGTTGAGATAAGTCACCTTAGATGATAGAGACGCGTGCATGCAACTTGTCATTTTCTACACCCTCATCTCACACGTTTTCCCACAATGTACCAACTCTGCTAAAATTGTCTATGTATCACATGATAGAATAGACACAAAAATATATACGTACATTCACGACACAAAAGCAGAGGCAGAAAAAAGAATTGTTGGAACGTGATTTTTTTTGTCTTCCAAAATTAAAATAAGTTTAACAAGGTAGGAAAAGAGATGTAGTTATTTATCCCGTTTAAATT